CACACACACACACACACACACACACACACACACACACACACACAGATGTACCAAATGATCCAGCTAGACCACTCCTTGGTATATACCCAAAGGACTTGATAGCCTACTACAGAGACTTGCTCAGTTGTGTTCAGTACCACTCTATTCACAAAAGCTAGAGAATGAAAACAACCTAGATGTCCATCAAATGATTAATGGAAAATAAAAATGTGGTACACATCCACAATGGAATTCTATTCAACTATAAAGAAAGATGAAACCATGAACTTTTCAGGTGGATGAATGGGACTGAAAAATATATTGACTGAGATAACCCAGACCAAGAAAGACCAACAGCATATGATCTCTCTTATTTGTGGGTTCTAAATCTGAATCTATAGATTTGAGTGTATAACTTGGAGTACCCACAGAAGCCTGTGAAGTAGAAAGAGACCCTTGGAGGAGGGAGGAAAAGTAGTGTTGGAGAGAGGAATGACAGGGCATGGGTGCTGTGATCGGGGAAAATGAGATGGGGAATATAATTGGGGAGCATGAGGAAACATAATATAAGTCTAATATAAATGGATAGCGAGAACATGTTTTGAAGCAGTTACCCCACAGAACAAGATAATGCTCCTCCCAGGAGACTTAGACTATTTAACAAAAACCCAAGTGTCAGGCAGCAGCTACTTCCCTTGGGTTGTTAGGCAAGGAGTCCATTGTTCTTGGTTGCCTAACAAAACATGAAGGTAAGAACCTATCACTGAAGACACTTCAAACTTTGGTCACAGGACCTGTAGACACCAAGCTGAAACTATCTAGGAGTCTCCTTCCTGAAGCTAGTTGCCATGTGTAAGAAAGTGCTGTTTCAGATGCTTAAGGAGAATAGATATCAACAGTCTTACCCAATTCTAAAGCTTGAGAACCACAGTAATGGAGACTTGCAAGACAGTGCAATAGTGGCACTTGTATTCTGAAGGCAACCAAGCAAGATCTAATTAGAACTACGCCTACTCATTTGGAGGTAACTCCCACCTGCTATTATAAATTTTCCCAAGAATCTATGTCTGGACAGGGCCTCATTGTTGAAGTGATACAGCTTCCAGTTGTCTTCTGCATGCTCATCCACCTGCTCATAGATAAGTGCAGCTCTCATTACAAAAGAAGCTTCTTTTTACAGTAGACTATTAGATCCGCAAACCATCAACAAGTAGAGCATAAGTGACTGTGGCATCCCCAGTCCCCAAAGAGAAATCTGTAACACAAAAAAGGGAAACCTATACCTATGGCTCAGTGAACATCTTGGAAGCTGGGGTGGAAAGACTATGAGAACCAGAGGGCTGGGATGCCTGCTGTCTGGTAGTTTCTTGTGGATGGGATTATTGCACAAATGAACTCTTCACAATGTGGTTGCCTGTACAAAACCTGCAGAGACCACACCTACCAACACACCAATGTGAATTGGAAGAAAATTTCATAAGGTCCCACCCCTAGATGAAAAGTGGTAGGAAATGTCTACTAAGGGACAGAGTACCATTTTTTGGTGTTGCTTTGGATTTAGGGATAAAAACACAGTCCTAAAGAGTCAGCTCTAAACACATGCAAATACGTGCAGGCTAACTGGACTCAGTAGATGATATATTCATGTATATGTATGATATATGTATACACAAGTACATGCATATATACCTACAATATTTAACAAACAGAAGAGTTCATGAATTCAAAGAGAGTGGTTGGGAGGATAGGGGAGTTGAGGGAGGGGAAGAGGCAGGGTAGAAAGGTTGGAAATACAGTGTAGTCATGTATAAAATCCTTAAATTTATCACATGTAAAGGGAATGTCAGCATACTGCTCATGAGAATGTAAATTAGTACAAATATTATAGAAAACAATATAGAAATTTCTCAAAAGGGTAAAAATGGGATTACCATATGATCATTCACCCTATATATCCAAAAGAAATAAAATCAGTATGTCAGATATTTTTGCACTCCTATTCATTGCACTATTCACATTAGCTGAAATGTGTATACAGCCTAAATTTCTATCTAGGTAGAATAGATAAAGATGTGGTATTTATACAGCAGCACAAAATTCAGCCTTGACAAGGAAGGCAGTCATGTCGTGTGTGACTATGAGCCTGGACTATGAGTATGGACTATGAGCCTGAAACATCTTGCATTAAGCAAAATAAGCTACACAAATTCTATGTGATCTTATACGTAGCATCTAACAAGTTGAACTCATAAAAACCCTAAAGTAGAAATTACCAGGAGTAGGATGAAGCCTTGGACTACAGAAGAGAAATGTTGGTCAGTGATAAAGAATCCCAGGCAGGATGAATAAGATAAAAAAGAAAACATCCATTGTACAACACACTATAGTGAATGCCAACAAGCTGATCTTGAAAATCACTACAAATAGATTTTAAGTATTTTTACCACAAACATATACATATGTGAAGTAATGTGTATATTAAGTTGATTACGGCATTCCATAACCTATTTATATTTCAAAGCATACCAAATATATCTAAAATTTTCATATCAAGACAAAAGTCTTAATGTGATTGAGTTTGGCACTAGGTGCAAGTGATTAGTTTGTTGTTTGTATGTGGATAGTAGCATACTTGCTGAGTCTTTTGGAATATGTTCTAAAGCACAGTTAACTTCTCAAACAACATTTAGCTGGATTTAAGCATTGACATAATGCTGTATCAAATCTCATTTTTCATAGCATGAAAATGGGGCAGATAATAAATTTTCTTCATACTGCACCACCTGACTGTCCCTTTCATTCCTTCGAAGATTTCCAGAGGCACTGGGATGACCTGGTAGGGAGCACATGTGTATCACACTAAATGTTATTTGATCTCTTTTTTTACCATGTAACATAATAATAGCCTCCTCTAAAACTATTTATACTGTATGCTTAATTCATAGTACGGCTATAAACTTCCAGAAGATCGTGGAGATATGAAAATATACTGTAGCATCTATTTCAAAATGATCAAAGAAAGGACCTTCACGTATCCTTTGCACACTACTGATAACAGATACTTTCTGTCTGCCTTATGAGCCAGCCGTGCTCATGCCCCATGCTGACATTATTTAATGGAGCCACTTTGCCTTCTAATTTAGCTTGGGAAATGATACTAATAAGAATTTATGTGACTGTTTTGGGTATTGTTCTTGAGACTGGTAAAATATAGCCTAGACTGACTGGGAACTCACTGTGTGTCCCAAGCTATTCTGGAATTTCTGATGTTCCTGTCTGTAATTTTCTTACAGGAATGCACCACTGTATCCAGTTTACAGTGAGGATAGGATTAAATCCAGCACTTATTGCAAGACAGGCCTTCACTCTACCAGCTGAGATACATTCTCAACCTCTCATCTCTAAATAAAAGACCCATCCGATCTTAACTGCTTCTAATATGAAACCACTTTGGTGACAGGAAGGAGATAGGGTCTTGTTATGTAACCCGGGCTATCCTTGAACTGGCCATCCTCCTGCCTCAGCTTCCTCTGGGCTGGAATTACCACCATCCCAGGCAATAAGAACTTTTCTTTAAAGACTATTGCAAAATTTAGACAAGAAAAGAAAATTCAGAATAGGAAAACGTGTGTGTGTGTGTGTGTGTGTGTGTGTGTGTGTGTGTGTATTTCCTAATAGAACATAAGAAACCAACCATAGGAGTCTCCTTAGCCAAGGTTTTCCCCAGTGTTCTTTGGCCATTATTGAAAATGTTAAATTAAATATTACTGAGATCTTCCTTTTTGGAAGATTTGTTTTTTAGATTTGACTTGCTCTTACACACTACATTGATTTAGGAAAATATCTTTCTTAATATCACTTTAAAATATACACTGAAACAGAGCACAAGTACCTAGGTGGAGGTCTTAAATCTTAATTAGCCTGGCTCTCACCATTCTGACAGGCTGGGGTTTACAAATGGAAAGAGCATGTTTTGTGCTCTTTCCTAACCCAGGTAATGCACAATAAACCTACAATCGACACTGCTAGTAATTCCCTTTCATTAGATGCCAACACTATCTCAAGTTTTTAGAAGATTTCTCATTAGGAAAAGTGACGGCTTTCCTTGAAGTTTGAAAATAATTGGTAATGTGTTTCTTCTCTGTGCCAAGTTTTTCATTGGTTTTGAAGATAGGAGTAGTTTATGGTCCACTAATTTTGTCCTTGTACTCTGTACAGGTGACAGATGGCACATTCCTTATAAATCTTTCCTGAAATATTGTAATCTACTCTACTTTCCATTCTATTTACAAAATGAAGACACGGAGATTCAACTTGATTGTGTCATGTCACACACACACACATACACACACACACACACACACACACACACACACACACACACACACACACACACAATTTGTTAATAAAAATAAACTTAAAATAGAAGGAATGAAAGAATGCTTTTTAGCTTTGACAACTGTAGAATATAACATAAAAATAGAATCTGTTTGTGTCTTGTGGACATTGCTGCCAGCTTAAAAATGAAAATTGCTCTGCCCTGCCGACAGAAACCTTGTGTTGCTCTTTAACCTTTAATCGTGCTCAGGTATCCTCTCAGCTGCATCAGAAGTCAGCCCATTCAGTTCTTCCCAAGGGTGGATTTGGAAGGTGTGTTGAAAAGTTTCCTTTCAGATTTAAAATCTAAACTGCCGCACATATGTGGATTTCCCATAAAGATGACAAATAAGCCATGCTACTACACACAGGAGCTTACCAGACCACAAAAACAGGTAAGGCGTACTTTTATCTCATCCAAGGTCTCTGAATTCTTTAGTAGATCACAAACTTTTCTCAATACAGCATCTCACAAATGCTATTTGTTGTTGTTAGTTAACTGTTGGTCCTGCCGTTTGCTATTACTGTATTTCATATGACACACAATCATTGCTTCTGATATGTTTCATCCATATCTAGATATGTACAAGTTGGGTTATTGGTGATTAAAGAGAAAATGCTATTTGTTGTTGTTAGTTAACTGTTGGTCCTGCCGTTTGCTATTTTGAATTTTGTGAAGTGTTCACCTTGACATATTGAATGGGGAAATGGGGTTGGGGGGCAGGCCTGTTCAGTAGAAGTTGGTGGCTGCTGCCCACCAGGTGGAGTCAGGAAGGGGTGTCTCTGAACCCTGCAGGGAGAAGAAAGCCATCACCAGTGTTTGCCTCTGCATTAACTTCAAGAGGAAGCCAGCACACAAACCTGGCTCCCCACAGACAGACAAATGTCAGAAGAAATGGCTCTTTGGGGATTTTGTTACACCCCAGACTTAACAAGCAGGGGAAGAAGACACAACCTGAAACCAGATTCTGAGTTTTTATATTTTCTAGGGCTGGAAATTTTAAGGGGACAAGAGTTACTTCTGGCTTTGCCCCCACCCCCACATTTTACAATCTGTTTGTATTGTGCCTTATTATACACACATAGAAAGTATATAGAAAGTATACCCACAATCTTGTTGTATAATTGTTCGTGTAACCCAGTGCAGCATCCTGCTCTCACCTTCCTCACTATATGTTCAGAGAGGTAACCACTGTCATGACATCCTCTGATGGCCCTTTGTCTTTAGTAAGCATATATCAGTAAAAACTAGGTTTTAGTTATGTCCAGTTTTTAATTTTATGCAAGAGAAACCACTGTTTGTGTTTCTAAGTCTGTATCTTTGCTTTAGAATAGTGTTGACACTCCTCTGTGTGGTTCCACTAAGTGTAGTCCACTCACTTCCATTTTCATGCAGTTATGTGATTATACCATAGCTGATTATTTTTCCAGAATATTGTTGATTGACAGCTGGATTGTTTGAGAGCTATTTGCAGTAATGTGGTAGTGAGCATTCTAGTAGGTATCCTCTAGGCCATGGCCATATATCTCTACATAAATGTAGAGTCAGTATGTGTATTTCCAAGTGTAGGATGTATTCCAGGCTATCTCCCACAGTTTCTGTGTGTCTGTAGCAGTTTGTGAGCCTCTGGCTGTTGCTCCTTTCCCTTGTTCATATGTGGTATTGTTGACCTTTACTTTAGCAATTCTGGCAGATTATCATCTGCTTTTAATGTGCATGTCTTGGTTATTTATGTATACTGATATTTGGATATTTGTTTTGAAGGGATGTCTGCCAATTTCATTGACAAATATTCTTTTTAAAAAATGATAATTAGGTATTTATTAGGGAAGCACTTACACAGATAAGCACTCACTCCAGAAGATGCAGTCTCTGCCCTTCAGATGCTCTCACTGAAACCCAAGAGAGCACCAGTGAGCCCCTCCTCTATGTTACAAGGGGTCAAGTCTGAACCTGGAACCAAGCCCAAAGGTGTGACCACCATCACAAGTTCAATGGCAAAGCAAGATGCCACTACAATTCTCCTTCTGTCTAAATAAGAGGGTTTTAAGCCTGATACAAAACTATAATACAATGATAACAAATATCAAGTATAGACAAGGAGAAGGAAGGTGAAAACATACACAAATTTAGGCCTATGACCAGCAAGAGCAACATTAAGCAGTAAACACATACTAAATGTCTAGTCCTAGGGTAATGGCAGAGATTACTCTGATTGATGTCCAATTCTGGGAAGTCTAAGTCTAGTACCTAATATGTTCTGAGATGAGAGGATATTAGTAGTGACTATCTAGTTTTCAACCTCATCAAAGACCTGGGAAGGAAAATAATATTATTAGGGTAAGCAGGAAATGTAAATGTGCAACTTCCTAAAGTTGCAAGCAATGACAGAAACAGCAGGCTACCTGGACAGTCACCCAAAGTTCCTCTGTAACGTTCAGCCCATAGGCCATAATGTGTCCAGCAGATTTTTCAACAAAGCAGGAAATTTGAAACTGTCCTGCTTGTATTGACAGTTTGCCAGTCATTTTTCTCTGTGTCCTGCAGAATGTCTGGCAGACTCTTCCATGAAGCAGGAACCCTTAAGGACTGTCCTATCTTGTTTTGGCAAGTTCAGCTGTCACTTCCCTGTGGGCCCTGCATGTTCAGTTTGTACAGTGTACAGTCAAACATTCCAGGCAAGAGCAGTTTCTTGCCCAAAAGGCTAGTCTTGCCATATTGAAAGAAAACTCCATAAGGAGCTTCATCTATGCCCATCTTCCTCTCTGACACAATTGGTGTTGCCAGGAGCAGTTCTGTCTCATTGTCATGAAAAACCATAAAAGACCATTTTAAACGCCATATTCTGTAAGTCTTTGAAAGGTTTTGAAGAATACCACTTGAAATATATCTCTGTATATCTAGAAAACCTAACTAAGTTTTGAGTAATCTGTAATTATACATTACATTTTTTAAAAAGCTGTAGAAACATAATACTTAAACAAGGGTAGAAATATACATATAACAAAATTGACCTTAAATTTGCACCAATAAACCAAAATCCATACCAATGCAAAGTATACATTTCTGTATCATATTCCCTTTTTTTCTTTACAAAGAAATTGACTGTGATCATTAACCATTTGTAACCAATCCATTTAAATGAGAACAAACATTCATAAACAATATTTGGGAGTGTGGATGTAGTTCTCTCTAAACTGCTTCCTGCTCTTTGGGGGCACTGTCAATCGCAAGGGGATCCTGAGAAAACCCAGAATCATGGCCAACTCCTGGCTGTAGTAGTCTGTAAGGCTGCATCATCCCAGTTGTCTTGAATGTTGAATCACCTGGGCTCTTGCTTCAGGGGGTCTTTCTTGATCAAGCCATATTAGTGTGGAAGGAATCCACAGTTTTTCATCTTCTATGGAAACAACAGCACAACCTCTTTTCAAAAGTAACATGTCCTTAGACTTAAATTTTGAAGTCAAGTTATTTTCAAAACATATAGGTTGAATTAATCCAGCAGCATTTATAATCAAATGTCTTTCAGCAGCTGTTGCTCCTTCCTCAGCAATCAAACAATTCAAAGACAATACAATAACATACAGTATGCAGACGCTCTGTGTATTTTCCATCTTCATGTGGGCCTTTTTTTTTTTTACTCTTGCCTTTTTTATTTTTCAGTTTTTTTTTGAGACAGGGTTTCTCTGTGTATCTTTGCTATCCTGGAATTCACTCTGTAGACCAGGCTGGCCTTGAAATCACAGAGATCTACCTGCCTCTGCCTCCCAAGTAGTGGGATTAAAGGTGTGTGCCACCACACCCAGCTACTTTATTTCTTTTTTAAGGACTTTATCCTTTTTTTTCCTCTCCCAAAAGCCTACGTATATTTTTAAACACACTGTCAATCATTTATTGATCCTCCCCCTCTGAATCTGCCTCTACTGTATATCTCTATCTTTTTTTGACCATGAGTCTTTTATATGCTAAATAGTGTAGATAGATTTTATTTTTTTTAGAAAGAAGATTATTTTACAGGTTAATCCCAGGTCCCTCTCCCTCCCCTCCTCCCCTGCCCCCCCCACTAGTACCCTACCTATCCCATACCCTATCTGCTCCACAGAGAGGGTGAGGCCTTCTGTAGTCTTCAAAGTCTGTCATATCCTTTGGGATATGGCCTAGGCCAACCCCCTTGTGTCTAGGCTCAGGGAATATCCCTCCATGTGGGATGGGCTCCCAGAGTCTATTCCTATGCTAGGGATAAGTACTGATCCACTACAAGGGGCCCCATAGATTTTC